GGTGCTCGAGTTCCCATTGGACAGATGAGGAAACTGACGGGCAGAGTGGTCCACCAAGGTGCGTGAGGCTAGTTTGGTGCCTGGGGGGGCTTGACCCTGGCCCTCCGTGCCCAGAGTCCCCTCAGTCTGGTGCCTCCACACATCCACTATGATGGATCCACTTTTTTTTTTTTCATTCATGCCATAGTGTTTATTTATATCTTAAAATAACAAGTCTACTTGTACACATTGATTTCACAGCATCAGTAAATTTATGTACTTGGAGATTTGTTTCTGGGTTATAATTCTTTCTTTGCATCTCATGACCGTTTCGGGTATTCAAAGAATCTTCTGTCTGCAATGAACAGGCAGAAGTAATAACAATATCTCTAAATCCCTGAGGTGTGATTTGAAATAGTACTGTGGATTCCTTCTGGCTGGGTAACTTGTACAATTGTTGCCAACCTTTGCTTTCGGTCCCAATGAAAGATTAAAAACTTGTGGCCTGTCTTTGAGGAGCGATACATTTGAACACATTGCCATTACTTTTTGCTTGAATCCAACAAGCCTGGGATTAGTCTTCAGGGATGCAATGGACTTCACATGCTGCGAAATTCACCATTTTAGAGTGTACCACCCAGTGGGTTTTAGACTATTCACAAAGTTATACAACCATCACACCTATCTCATTCCTGACCAACATGGATACCCTCTATCCATTTAGCGATCACTTCCCATTTCCCCCTCACCCCAGTAGCTCCTAGTTAGATCCCAAGCAACCCCCAGGTAACCGCTGGTCTACTTTCTGTCTCTATGATTTGCCTGCTCTGGCCATTTCCTATAAACGGAATCGTGCACTCTGGGGTATTTCCTGTCCGGTGTAATTCACGTGGCGTGGTGTTTTCAAAGCTCACCCCTGCTGTAGCCTCAGTCAGCATGTCCTCGTCATGGCTGAGTGGCACTCATTTGTGGGGATGGGCACGTCATGTTTACTCATTCATCAGCTGCTGAACAGGTGCTTGCCTTTCACACTGTTTCTAGGAAGTCATCCTGTTAAAGATATTTTTATATGGTCAGACCCTTGGTCACAGATTTACGAAGGATTCTAACCTATTCTGCCTGAACGTTTTTATGACAAAATCCTTCTGCATCATTTAAGCAAAACGTTCACTGCAATGTTGGGCTGTTGTCAGATTGTCCTCTTTCTGGAAACGACTCTGTCTCAAGACCTTAAGTTGGCTGAAGGGTTCTCACTCGCCACACCCAGGTGTAACCTTATAGGCTCCTAACCAGAGCCTATATGTATTCTTTGAAACATTCTCTCTCTTCTCTCTCTCTCTTTTTGAGACAGAGTCTCTCTCTGTCACCCAGGCTGGAGCGCAATGGCGCAATCTCAGCTCACTGCAACCTCCGCCTCCCGGGTTCAAGTGATTCTTCCACTTCAGCTTCCCTAGCAGCTGTGGTTACAGGTGTGTGCCACCATGCCCAGCTATTTTTTGTATTTTTAGTAGAGACAGGCTTTCACCATGTTTGTTGGCCAGGCTGGTCTCGAACTCCTGGTCAGGTGATCCACCCTCCTTGCGTGTCCGGAAGTGCTGGGATTACAGGCGTGAGCCACTGTGCCTGCTCTCTCTCTGTTTTGTTTTTTTACTATTATTGTTTTTATTATTTAATAGCTGGATTCATAGTACCATTTCCTACTTATTTTTTTTCCCACTCTGAATTGTTGAGTCTGGCTCTGCTACCATTAGTTGTAATTCCCTGGAGACTTAGCCTCATCTCAGGCTTTTGCTAACAATTATCTTTATTTATTTATTTTTTGGACTGCTTTAAGATCATTTATTAGAACACAGTCTTTCAGAAGCCATTGAGGCATCGGGCAGCAGAAAGGGAGCTGGGATGGAGCCGGCCCTGTGAGGGACCAAGGGCAGAGTGACAGTCACAGTTAGGAAATTTCATTCGATCCCGCTGAAGACTCCTGTACGCCTGATAACCTAATGATAATCTGGAAGTTCGGTAGCTCGCAACATTTTTAGGAAGCACATAAGATTAGCATTCAAATCAGGCATTATAGAAAGTTTCATAAAGAAAGAAGTGTTTACTATAAGTCTTTTTAAAAGCCTTGGTTCATCTTGAAAGATCGATGAATTTTTAAATCAGAATAAAAGGAACGTAAAATTCCCCCACCCCCCCAAATACATAAGAACCACTTACTGGCACTCGTATTTTAAGTACCTGGGAAAAAAAAACAGAACAGATTTTTAAAGGGAATTAGTAACAGCTTGTACGAGGGCTTGTTTCATTTGATTTGGCACCAAGTACAGCCAGTGCTCGACTTACGACCACGATTGGTTCCGACAGACTGGCCGTAACACTATTTTGGCTGTAAGTCGAGTAGGCTATATGTACAGTATTTCTTTCTTTATCTTTCAAAATCGTCGACACAGTCGAGTGTGATAACTGTCCTATGCCCAGCTGGGCAACGTTTGCGCTGCCAGATGCGGAGCAGTCATGGCTAGCGATTGTGGTGGTAAAATGGAATGGTCATAAGTTGCATAGGTCGTAAGTCGATCAATACCTGTAAAGCCAGAGCGCACACGCCGTGGAAGACATCATAACGGCATTCCTCCACCTCTCGAGTGCCCGCCCCTCCTACCGGACCACACAGCACACCAGCAGCCATCCTTGTTGCCCCACGAAGGAATTACCTTAGAGTCCAATTTTTAAATGGCTGCTCAGGTGACAACAATCGAGTTCTTTCTCCTTAAAATAAGGTGGCTGGCAGTGAATGCTAATGGGTATCGATTTCTTTGATCAGAAACAAAGGACTCCTTCAGGAAACTCAATTTCCTGGTCCTTGTTAACCTGTCATGTAAATTCTCTTTATTGGCACACCTGTTTACACATTATGATCGATTGCTGTTTATGCCAAGAGAGCATTTCCCAGGCATGCCTCGTCTATTCACCACTGACAAAGTATGCTGACTTTATTTACCTAGTGCCACGGGTTTTCTCTTTTTCCCTTTATTTTATTTTATTTTTTTAGCGGGGGGTGGGACTGTAAGTTGTTATTTATCATGGCAGATCGTACCTTTGGATCAAAAAGAGAAACCAGCAAGTAGATCCTAAAACACATTTCTTAACCGGAGTCACATCTAAAAACATATAGACTTTAATTACACTTTGCTGAAAATTCATTCAACTTTGGTGCTTGTCCAAGGACTTACAATGTCAATTTCTGACATAAATCATAACCCTCAGTACATATCTATTTTCAAAGGAAACAAGTCATCTTAAAGTAATATTTTTCTATATATTGATATGTTTTTATAGCAAATTGAAAATTCTGAGTCAACTGAAAGTACGCTTAACAACAAAATAAATACAGCATATATGGCTAGCATATACATTTCTTAGTGTAAAGGCAGCCGTGAATTTGTGTCTTACAACAAATCTGTAAATCCAGTTGCTTACTTTCTGGAATTGTACATAGTGTCTCACCATGTCTTTGTTCCACCACAATGCTGGAAATGTCTTTTTTGCCATCAATCTATGCAAAAATTCCTGATCACATATTTTCCCCAAATGACATGTAACTTTTTAAAACTTTTCCAGAAAAATATGGAAACTTTATCAACCACTTATTAACTGAGCAAAAAGATGACTACCAAATGCTCTTTTAATTTTGCTCTAATAGATGTTTTAAAAGTTCAGACATCGCTGATATTTTTGAGGATAACTGCATGAAACACACGAGATGATTCCAAAGGATGAATCTTAGTATCTGACTCATTTAGCACATCCTTAGTATCCAGAATAAAATCAGAAGAAGTAAAAGTAATGTAATTTTCAAAGAATTCGTACATACTGGAAGTCTTAGGAAAAGTAGCTTCTAAATGCAAGGACTGGGAGGTTTGCCCATCTATTGCCCACCTTTTTTTTTTCTTTTTTTTGAGACAGTCTTGCTCTGTCACCCAGGCTGGAGTGCAATGGTGCAATCTCAGCTCACTGCAACCTCCACCTCCTGAGTTCAAGAAATTCTGCTGCCTCAGCCTCCCAAGTAGCTAGGATTATAGCCGCATACCACCACATTCGGCTAATTTTTGTATTTTTAGTAGAGGTAGGGTTTCACCATGTTGGCCAGGCTGGTCTCGAACCCCTGACGTCCTGATCCACCCGCCTCAGCCTCCCAAAGTGCTGGGATTACAGGCGTAAGCCATGTGTCTGGCCTGCCTAACTATTGTTAGTTACACACATTTCTCCTCATGGAGTAACAGAAGCTTTCTGGCTTGTTTGTGGAACTTTAGTTTGTAAGAAAGCATGTAAATAGGGCCAAATCTTGTGAGTTTCTGTTCCGGAGAATGTTTCCAACACACTTTTGTTCTGATAATATTTCAGAACTGGCTTTGTTTGGGCTTCAGAGCCTTCGGTCTGTTGATAACCGTCTCTGGCTTACCATCCTCATGCTGAATGAGAGGCTCCACAGTCAGATAATCAGTGCCCACACTTTTGAGAGGGCTGAATTCAATGCTGTAGACTCGGCCACTGGGGGATGTGTCCAGCGAGCAGTAAGGCCTCATTTAATGACCTCAAAGCGTACATGCAGGTTAATCACTGTGACGATCTGAGAAGCTCTATCTAGGGCTTCTGCCTGTGGAATTGTCCTTGGAAAACCATCCAAAATCCAGCTACACTGCGTGGGATTTTTCGGCTCATGAAGAGCCTGCTGAGTCATGAATCACCCGGGATGAGCGAGCCTTGGTCAGTGGAAGCCTTGGCTGACGCAGCGGTTTCTGTATCACATAGCCTGTTGTCCCGAGCAGGTCCCCGCTGAAGAGGTGCTTCAGCTCCAAGTGTCAGGTGATGTGCGACCACGTGGTGCCTCTTCCCGAGCCCGGGGCCCCGACAGTCACCGTGGGCAGCAACGGATGCCCCCAGGGCCACAGACCGAGGCCGGCGCTTCGGCTGGCAGCGCTGCCAGCAGGTGGCAATCGCGAACATTGATCTTTGTCTCTTTCCAGGTCGATCCAGTGTTTACAAGGGAAGTGAAAGCCAAAGTGAAAAGGTAAGAGCTGGAGGAGACCAGACATGCTGCAGAACAGGAAACCTGGGTGTCCCCTGAGTTACCTTAACTCGCGTTTGTCCAGTCCCAGGCACTGTTCCAAGCAGTTTACAGGTGTTTCCTCCTCCATCCTCCCAGCCAGCCTGTGGCATCCTAGGCACTATCATTTGCCCAGGGAGATGCCAATAAAACCCACTTTGTGATTATAATTAGTAACTGATCACATTGGCCAAATGGAGCGATTTAAACTCTCAAGCAGGCGTCCCCAAACTGCGGCCCCCTGAGGCCATTGATCCGGCCCCCTGCCGCACTTCAGGAAGGGGCACCTCTTTCCTTGGTGGTCAGTGAGAGGAGCACAGTATGTGGCGGCCCTCCGACGGTCTGAGGGACAGTGAACTGGCCCCCTGTGTAAAAAGTTTGCGGACGCCTGCTCTCAAGGGTTTGGAAGAATGGAGGAATACCACCCTTTGTCACCGCCTGCCTGCAGAGCGATGTGTTGGTGTGTTGGTTATGAGCTGTATTTGTCTGCCAGGAACAGCACAGGCTTGAACAGAGTGAGCTTTCACTGCTCACATCAACGCGTCTGAGGGGGGTCAGTCGAGGAGCAAAACGGAAGCTTCCCTGAGACTTTGGGGATCTGGCTTTTGTCTCTGTCCGGCCTTCCTTTGCCCGTGGCTCCCGTCCTGAAGGTGACATCGTGGCTCCGGAGCTGCGTCCTCGGTCTGCGTTTTAAGTGGGGTGACGGGAATGAGCAGAGCCAGAAAGACATGGGTCTCATTCGGGTCAGTCCCCTGTAAAGTGGTGTCCCCACAGCCCCTCAGGATTCCGGCCAGATTGCATCGGCCATGCCAACCGCGCAGGGCACTGACGAGGACGGGTTTTTCCCATCTACAATCAGGGACCTTTAGATCGTTTCCAGTGCAGATGCATGTGCGTCAAAGTATCACCCGCTCAGGGAAGGGACACGTGGCAGGGCCGTGAGAGTGGTGGCCAGTGGTGGGGACGAGGAAGATCAAAGAAAGGCACAGATTTCCATTACATGGTGAAAAAAATAGAACAAGGCAAAATGTCTGTGACAAAATAGCTGTCAGTGCTGTGTGCTGGGGACAGGGCTTTTGTTACATTATCATCTCTATTTACTATTTCTAGTTCCATTTTTTATTTTTTATTTTTTATTTTTTTTGAGACCAAGTTTTGCTCTGTTGCCCAGGCTGGGGTGCAGTGTCTTGGTTTTGGCTCACTGCAACCTCCACCTCCTGGATTCAAGCAATTCTCCTGCCCCAGCCTCCTGAGTATCTGGGATTGCGGACGAGTGCCACCACGCCCGGCTAATTTTTTTGTATTTTTAGTAGAGACGGGGTTTTACCATGTTGGTCAGGCTGGTCTCGAACTCCTGACCCTGTGATCCACCTGCCTTGGCCTCCTAAAGTGCTGGAATTACAGGTGTGAGCCACCGCACCCGGCCTATTTCTATCATTTCTATTCTTGTTGTTTCATTAGTATTTTTTTAAAATTGTTTGAAAAAAGGTTGAATTATTAGAAAAACGTTTTCTAAATCAAAAGAGAGAAAATAGTAGAAACCTTATCTCTGACTCTTGTAGTCCTTGAAAAAAGGTTGAATTATTAGAAAAACGTTTTCTAAATCAAACAGAGAAAATGGCAGAAACCTTATCCCTGACTCTTGTAGTCCTTGAGAGCAGGTGTCTTTGCTGAGCGTATTGAAAACAAGAACAGACACATTAAACAGCTCCCTCCCTACTTGTCAGGGACATGAGCGGCGAGCGTTTCTACCCCAGTATCGCTCTCCTGGTGCTTGCTTGTTGATCTGGAGTGTTTCACCCAGATTGTCATGGCTCCTCCTCCCAGCTGCTGCCCATGAGCCTCCTGGGATTAGAGCCACCCCCTGCTTCGTGTTTTCTCAGGGCCTCTGGGGTACGGCTGATCGGCGAGATGCCTCAAGGAGATCTGCACGCCGTGGTGAAGAACTGCTTCGCGGTGGTGAACAGCTCTGTCTCTGAAGGCATGTCGGCTGCAATTTTGGAGGTAATTATGTAACTTGAGTACTGAAAGTGGGCGTATGAAATTGTCCATCACTCCCTTTCTTATTTATGGAGGTGACGTCTTTGTCAATAACATTCTGCATTTCTGAAAGCTAGAAGAGCCAAGCAGCATGCCCGTTGGAGTTCAAAAGTACGTTTGAAGTTCTATCTGGAAGTTTCATTTAGCACTGCCATTTCTCCTTGCTAGCTACGAGGACAGTAAAACTGGGATGGCATTGCCTCTCTGACCCTCTAACTCTCTCTGACAGGAAGGCAGCTAAGGTTACAGAAGATTGGGACAGGAAACAGGATGAAGGTGTTTCTGCAGGAAGCCTCCTTTTACTTGATCTTTTCTCTTTCTTTTCGTATGTTCTGTAATTCCAGAGTTTAAGGGAAAAGAAAGGACTGGACTTCCCAGGTGGCAGGAGACGGAAGCAGGGTAGCCATCAGAGATGACAGGGTGGCATGGGGGCCAGGGTGGATGTAACCTCTTCATCCAGCAGTCAGCTCCATCAAATTGCTCCGTCTTTTTTGACAAAATGTGTCTATCCCAGCAGCACTCTGCAGTCCACCACCAGAGTATGTGTGTTTGCAGGACCGAGTCTGGAGTGGGAGGCGGTGCTCTCGAAACGCGGGCAGGCTCTGGCTGGGCTGCCCTCTTCTGTAAAAGGTCCTGGCAACCTCACATCCCCTTTGCAATGGGACCACCTACAACATCTCTTCTCCCCCTTGAGACTCTTTTGACGTGGGGCATCTCACCATTATCTCTGCTGCTTGAATTTAGGTCCCCAAGAGCAGGCGTCCCCAAACTACAACCCGCGGGCCGCATCCGGCCCCCCGCCGCACTTCAGGAAGGGGCATCTCTTTCATTGGTGGTCAGTGAGAGGAGCACAGTATGTGGCGGCCCTCCAACGGTCTGAGGGACAGTGAACTGGCCCCCTGTGTAAGAAGTCTGGGGACGCCTGCTCAAGAGAATCACCAGCACGTGTCTAACAGAAAAAGACATGCCTTCTCTTGTTTTGCTGTGGCTTCATTGCCTCCAGGGCTCCCGAAGAATGAGCCCAGAAAAGGGCAGGCGCGGCTTGCTCAGGCCAACGCCAGCCTTTGGCACCGGCGTTTCCTCACGTGATTAAAGCAGCAGGTACCACGTGCGTGGTGCCCGCGGTGGGCCTCAGTACACGCTCTGCATATCACGGGCATGGTGTGAGCATGTGTCAGGCACATGGGAAAGCCTGTTCTCCTGTGAAAAGGAAAACATTTGGCCACTGCTTCCCGAGACCTTTTATCCAGGTTTCACGTGTTCTTTCTGAATACCTGGACTTCTTATTTCAGTGTCTACTTAGATTAATGCTGTTACTTTATCATAAGTCTTTGGAATGTCCATGATTCCCCTTAGGTACCAGTTGAATGTACAGAACTTACTGACAAAAGTTAAGGTCTGCAAACCTTAGGGGTCCAGAGAGAACATGGTAAATAAAGTAAGAAAAAAAATCCTCTCCCTACATTTAAGAAATGAATGACATTGTGTGCATAATATTTTCCCTTAATGTGACATCATTTCAAACCAAAAAACACAGAGGGAGATGATAGACGCTAGACGTCCGTGCCCAGGAATCTGCCGTTAGGTGCTTTCAGAACACGGAGTGTGCGTTTGTGACACGAGCATCCTCAGCCAGATGTCAGCACCTCAGCTCACGGGTTGCCATTAGTATTAATCTTCATTGTCCTTTCAAATCGGCTCCACCCGCAGTCCTCGGGGCAGTACATTTTATTCGCCGTGTTAACGTGAAAAGTGTATATGCTTATGGCACCAGTATTTAAGCTACTGCTGAAGTGCTCCTTTGTAGGTAAATATACATTTTTTTGACTTCTTAAGGTAGAGTGGAGTTCGGCAGTGGTTTTGTAACCAGCACGCACAGCATTTCACTGCGGATGAATCGCTGTCAAACCTCATTTACTTCCCAGCAAAGGCAGCTGTTAGCAATTCTGCCTGCCTTAAAATGTTGATGTTGTGTTCCTTTTGAAAACTCACAAAATAACCTTTGGGCGAAGGGTTTTGAATGAAACTGATTTTAGAGGAGTGGTAAGGGTACATTTCATTAGAATCAATTCAGATAGCCCAAGTGTTTAATCATGGAATAAGTGCCTATCACTTTTGAAGGAAGTGATCTTTTGACCTTTCAGAATTAACTGTATTTTCACATGGAAGCACATAAAAGTCCCATTTGCAGAAACACATTTCTTACCGATGAACTCCAAAATTCAAACTTTGGCTGGATGTGTGGGCAGCGGGGTGAACACTTCTATAGCTCAGCAATTGTTTCCAGTTTTGAGCTTTCCTATGGATTGAATCCTGCAGAGAATTACATTAAAACTATATAAATAATAATTTGCTTATCCCTGCCTTCCTGGTTAGCCTCTTTTCTCAGCCCTAGAACACACACGCGCGTGCGCATACAGACACAGAGGCACACACACATGCACACACATGCACCCACAGATGCAGGCACACACATGCACCCACTGATGCATGCACACACAGGCAGTGCACACATACACACACGCACACACATGTGCATACACACGCACACACTATGCGCGCACACACACGCTCTGCCTGAGAGAGAAGCCCATCTTCTAAAGCAGAGAGGAGCGCCTGCAGGAAGCAGATGGTTCTTGGCCTCTTGGCTTCCAAACTCCAGCCCCAGTGATTGAAGCAGGATGTGAGCACATTTAAAGGCAGCTGCGACTCTGTGTCACTTGACCCTCGACTCGTTTGCAAGCATGTGTGCGGACACGGCCGTGTGCTGCCTTTCCTACCGTGAAAAGCAAAGGGGCTTTCGCGTTTTCATCATGAGGAAGATGCTGCCGGCATGTATGTGGGATGGGCAGCTGGGCAGCTGTAGGGAGTTGACGTGTTGTCCCAGGTGGCGGAATACAGCTAGTTCCGAAAGGTCACTTCCTTCCAAAGTGACAGGCACTTATTCCATGATTGAACACTTTGGCTATCTGAATTGATTCTAGTCAGTTCATTACATCAGAGTTGTACCCAAAATGCCATTGGCCACCATTGAGAATCACCATAACCCCAGTGATGTCAGATCCAAATCTGCTGTGGGCATGTCCAGCCCGGCTCCATTGCCACAAGACAAGCAATGCTGGTTTGACTTGACAGATGCTCAGAAAAGACCATTAAAATGCAAGCCAGCCTCTCTGCAGGAAACTCTAGACATAGCGGTTTCCAGTCACAGGTGTGCATCAGAATTACCTTGAAGCTTAAAACACCATAAATACAGGTGACGGTGCGCACCCCTCACAGCTGGGGCCTCACTTGTTTTGCGGTGGGGCCTGGCTGCTGAGTTTCTTAGGACTGTTGTGCAGGGAGGAATGGAGGCAGAGTAAACTTTATAAGCTCTGCTGAAAATGGTGTGCTAGCCACAAAGCCTTTTACAAAGAGTCTCCTATGAAGTTTCCATCTGCCTGATAAGTGCTTGGAGAGGTCATCTGGGGAAAATAAGAAATCAAGTGAGTTCTCGTAGGAACAGAGAGCAGAAAGGTGGGGAGCTGAGGCTGGGGGCTCGGGGCGTGGGGAGATGTTGGAGAAGGACCTCAGCTCTCAGGAGAAATAAGTTCAAGAGATCTGTATTGCAGGCCATGGAGACTACAGTTAACAACAATAGATTTATCCTTGAAAATTGCTAAGAGTAGATCTCAACTGTTCTCACCACAAAAAACAAGTATGACATAACATGTGTGTTAATTAGCTAGATTTAGCCATTCCACAGGGCGGATGTGTGTCAAAACATCATGTTGTGGCCGGGCGCAGTGGCTCACGCCTGTCATCCCAGCACTTTGGGAGGCCGAGGTGGGTGGATCACCTGAGGTCGGGAGTTCGAGACCAGCCTAGCCAACATGGTGAAACCCTGTCTCTACTTAAGATACAAAAATTAGCTGGGTGTGGTGGCGGGTGCCTGTAATGCCAGCTATTCGGGAGGCTGAGGCAGGAGCGTTGTCGGAACCTGGTAGGAGTGAGGTTGGAGTGAGCTGAGGTCGCACAGCTGCACTCCAGCCCAGGTGACAGAGTGAAACTCCATCTCAAAAAAAAAAAAAAAAAAAAAAATCATGTTGTACGCTGTAAATGTAGACGATTTTTACTTGCCAGTTAATTTCTTTTTTTAATCAAGTGAGTTCAAACACAAAGAGGTGTCAGGTGCATCTTGGACCCTGACATTTCACTCGTCTTAGTCCCAGAGTGGGGTCCCTGACACTGGCTCTGAACAGGTCTCCTCTGAGGCCTATGAGTCACGCACCACGGTGCTCCTCCCTCTGGACTCTGGACTCACAGAGGCGTTCTGAGGATGAGCGCGCTCACCTGTGCGCGCCGCCTGCCCAGGCACCACCCGTCTTCCTACTGGTGAGGCCCAGCTGCACACCATTGCCATTTTCCAGGAGCTCCTCTCTCTGCAAGGCATGTTCTTTGTTAAAGGCACATCATGTTGGTTTCTCGAGAGGTGACTTCAGAACTCGTTTTCTGTAAATGTGCTACCCTCAGATTCCAGTGAACTCTCTTCTTCCTCTGTTCGTTTCACAGCGTCCTGAGTGGGTTATGTTGCGTCCTTTCCGTTGAACTGTGGTTTTCCTTGGAGGCAGAGCCGGGCCCTCTGCAGTGTTGAATCCTCCTGGTGCTCCCCTTGCATTGCGGACCATCAGATGGGATGAGTGTGCTCATGCCTCTGCCATTCAGCAGAAATGTGTAGAGTGCCCGGCCTGCCAGGCCCTGGAGATGCTGCAGCAGGCAGACGCTAAAGGGCCTTGGTTGCATGGAACCCGTGTCGGAACCCGGGTCCTTATGAGGGACGGAAAGAGGACTGGCAGACGGGCAGGAAGCAGGCAAACGGAAGAGTGAACAGAGAGCTTTAGGACGTAGTGTGTGCTGAAGACGAAATGCAGCAGCTCGATGTGACAGCAGATGGCTGGGATGTGCTCAGAGCAGGCTCCGTGGGCTGAACTGTGACCCCTCCCCAAATGCCTGTGTTGAAGTCCTCAGAAAGGGAATGTACCAGAGATAGAGGTGATCAAATTAGAATGAAGTCCCTGTGGAGAGCGAGGAGGGTATGGGGGTGGCTAATCCAATATGACAGGTGTCATTATCAGAAAGGGAAAGTTTTTTTTTTTTTTGAGATGAAAGTTTTTTTTTTTTTTTTTGAGGGCAGTGGCACATTCTTGGCTCACTGCAGCTTCCACCTCCCTGGTTCAAGTGGCTCTTGTGCCTCAGCCTCCCGAGTAGCTGGGACCACAGGGGTGCACCACCATGCACAGCTAATTTTGTTTGAATTTTTAGTAGAGGCAGGGTTTCACCATGTTGGCCTGGCTGGTCTTGAGCTCCTGGCCTCAAGTGATCCTCCCACCTCGGCCTCCCAAAGTGCTGGGATTACAGGCATGAGCCGCCGCCCCTGGCTGATATTGAGCATCTTTTCATATGCTTATTGCCCTATTTATATCTTCTCTGAAGAAGAAGTATCGAGTCACAACCCTTGCCCACTTTTTCATTGTGTTCTCCTATTATTGCTGAGTTGTCAGAGTTCTTTTTGTGTTATAGATACAAGCCTCCCGTCAGCCTGTCAGATACGTATTTTCTAAATATTTCCTCCCGTTCTGCAGATTGTCTTTTCACGTTCTTAATGGTTTCCAGTGAAGTTCAAAGTGTTTGATTTTAATTTATTTTTATCATTTTATTTTATTTTATTTTTTGTAGAAACAGGAGCTCACAATATTGCCTAGGCTGGCCTCAAGCAATGTTCTGCCTCAGCCTCCCAAAATTCGGGGATTATAGGCATGAACCGCTGCGCCCAGCTCCAAGTTTTTAGCTCTGATGAAGTCCAGCCTTCTTGTTGCTTGTGTTTTTTATGCCGTGTCTAAGAAGGCTTTCTCTAACCCCCAATCTTAAAGACTTAACTCCTGTATTTCCTTCTAAGAATAGTATGGTTTTAATTCTTACATTATGTCTTGATCCATTTTGAGTGAGTTTTGTATGTGTGGAGTGAGGAGGGGCCCAGATTCCAAATTCCTTCCTTCTTTGGCATATGCATACTAACGATGACTAATACAGCTTTTTTTTTTTTTCACCCCGAAACAGAGTCTCACTTTTGTTGCCCAGGCTGGAGTGCAGTGGTCCAGCCTAGACTCACTACAACATCCACCTCCTGGGTTCAAGGGATTCTTGTACCTCAGCCTCCCAAGTAGCTGGGATTACAGGTGTGCACCACCATGCCCGGCTAACTTTTGTATTTTTAGTAGATACGGGGTTTCACCATGTTGGCCAGGCTAGTCTCGAACTCCTGACCTCAGGTGAGCTGCCCACCTTAGCCTCCCAAAGTGCTGGGATTACAAGCGGGAGCCACCGCACCCAGCCTAACATAGCTTTAATATGATTTTAATTTACTTTACCTTGAGGTCCAGTTCTAAGGTCACCTGCTTTTTAGTAGGGATTTGTGGGTTTAGAGTGTGTTCTCAAGACCTGGGATGGGTCACTGTGCTCTGTAAAACTCACTGAGTCAGGTAGGGAGCCATCTGCTGCCATGATGTCATTCACAGTGACAGCAATGCCCAGAGACAGATCGAAACTCTGCAGTATTAAGCCATTTAATCTGGACAAGCACGGTGGCTCGCACCTGCAATTCCAACCGTTTGGGAGGCCATGGTGGACAGATTGCTCGATCCCAGGCGTTTCAGATGACCCCATCACTACAAAAAACTTTTAAAAACATTAGCTGAGCATGGTGGCATGTGCCTGCGGTCCCGCTGCTGGAGAGGCTGAGGTGGGAGCAGTGTGTGAGCACAGCAGGCGGAGGTCGCAGTGAGCCGAGATTGAGCCACGGCTCTCCAGCCTGCAGAGCGAGACCCAGTCTCCCCCTCTCCAAAAAACATTACTTAATCTTCCCTACTACCCTTATGAAGGAGATTTTATTGTCTCTATTTTACCTCAGGGGAAACAGTCAAACAGCTGGGGGAGGTTGAGATGTTTACCCAAGATCCTACGACCAGTACCGAATGGAACCAGGATCCACGCCCAGGCAGGGCAGCTTCAGGGCTTCCCTTACAAATGCTATCATGTATTTACTTTTAAAAAGTGTAAAATCTGTAGAACAGGGAGAGCAGTGCGGTGAATACCTGTGTCCCCTTCACCCACGTTCATCTTCCTGCTTCCTCTCCTCCTCGCCTGTCGCTCTTCATACTCGGAACTCTCTCTCTCTTTCTCCTGCCAAATCACCGGAAAGGAGGTGGTTGATAACGACACTGCTAATATTTCTCTCTGCAACTTTGCAGAGCAGGTGTCTTCTCCTGCACCTGACAAGACAGGACCGTGATTGAGAAAACTCAGTGTCAGTCCCATGACACCACTGGATGTGCGCTCCAGACTTCATTCCCTCGGTGTCATATCCTTTTTTCATGCAGGATCCACACAGCATGCATTGCGTTTGGCTTTGTGTCCCTTTAGTGTACTCCAGCCCAGCTCCCCGGAGCTCTTCATGACATTGTGCCCTCCGAAGGGTCTGGTCAGTTGTCCCAGAGAACACGGCAACGATGGAGTTGCCTGATGCATTCCTTGGGGTTGGATTTACATCCACTTCCAGCTGGGACGCCACACAGGTGTGTACTTCCCGGCACGTCACACGGGAAAGGCATCGGCTCTTCTGCCTGTTGCTGACAGATGCCTCCATCGTGAAGGCTCATCCTTTGTGATTGATAAATCACCCATGGCGTGGTGCTTTGGGACATGGGGACACAGACGCTCCTCAGCTTATGACGGGGCCGCATCCCAGTAAACCCATCACAAGTTGAAAATACGGTGAGTTCAAAATGCGTTTAACATCAGAGCTCAACCTAGTTGACCTTAAGTATGCTCAGAAAACCTGCATTTGCCTGCTGTGGGGCAAAACCGTCTAACCTGTTTTATGCTAAAGTGTTGAATATCTCATGGAAGATGTTATGATTGGATACTGCACTGAAAGTGAAGAAACAGAATGGTTGTATGGTTGCTGAAATACGTTTTTTACTGAATGTGTATGGCTTTTGCACCACCATGAAGTCACAAAATCCTAAGTGGAATCATTGTAAGCCGGAGACCATCTGTTTCCTGTTTCCTGATGACCTTTTACTTAACGGATTTGATCAGGCTCCAGTAGGATCCACTATTGATCCCCGGTCCTTGTCTGAGTCAGTTATTACACGGGGGGTTACAAAGTGATGATTTTCTAATTCTGCTCTTCTGTCTACACTTACTGTAGAAGAATCTACGAGCAGATTCTTCTGGAGCGAAGAGCTTTCCCCTTTTCTTCCTCCGACTTTTCCTCCTCCTCCTCCTCTTTCCTTTTATTTCTCTCTCATCACTAAGGAATCAGGTATTCTTGAAATTTCGTGTGTTACAACCTGTTACAGTCATTATTCTTTTTTGAAGTTGCAAAATCCTCCCGCCGTGGTCAGTGGGAGTCCCTTGAAACTGGCTTCTGTTTCCTTTTGACCTGACATCATTAAACTTTGAGCACTGTAGTAAGCCTGTGAAATGCCTCCTTCCTGGGCAGGGGAGGCCAGGGCTGTGCACTGTGCACCGGGCCATCTTCTAGTGGCCCAGCTGCCAGTTGTCACCAGGCTGTGGGGTGTCAGGTGCTGCTCCCCAGACCTTCGGAAATGGAAACTTGGCTGCGTGAATAATCGAAATGAGAAATCGTGTTCCTCTTCCTTTTGTCAGCCTGCCAGAGGGCTGAGTTTGGTTTTTGTAGTGTTCACACTCGCTTGTCTGTGCTGGAAGAGAATGGCCCTTCAGGGAGAGTGCGGATGGTGATTAACAATGCATACGCCATGCGGTTGGTGATGAGGTGTCCAGTGAGCATTCGGAGAGGGGAGGGGGGCTCTTCGTGGCCTTTGTGGCACTGCCATAATTATGTTAGACGAACAATGACAGTACATAGTGTTTCAGAACCGTGCTAAGTAATTAAAATTCAGTTGTATTCTAAAAATGTGCTTTTGAGATCGGGATCTCATTTGGGCGAGGTGTATTTTTTCGTGTGAGGTGCCAGAGGTGCAATTAACCCAAGTTATTCCGCCTTCCGCGGCTCACCCTGCCGCAGAGGCTCTTGAGCTGACTGCTTCCACCCCTTTCCGCGTGTCTCCTGCAGGCGATGGATTTAGAAGTTCCGGTGTTGGCCAGAAACATCCCCGGGAATGCTGCCGTGGTGAAGCATGAAGTCACAGGGCTACTGTTTTCCACTCCTCAGGTAAAGAGAAGTTCTTCCCCTTCATTCACTGACGTTTTCTGAATAGTTTTCCTCTGTGTTTGCTGGAGAGAGTCTTGGTGTAGCGCCCAGCATTCCCGCCCTAGCAGGAGCCCTGCAGAGAGCTTGCTGTCTTCTGTTACCACCCCGCAGCTGCCTGGGTGTGCCACTAGCTGAAAACTAGGGACAGGATTGTTGATTTCTATTCCTGCTTCTGCCACCAAGTTGCGTATGGGGCTGGGCCAGATGCGTTACCTCAGGTGTTTGGATTTCTGATTTCCAAAATGGGCACTCTCAGACACAACCTTGTATTTATAGAACGTCTGCTGCTTTCAGAGGACGGCTGCCTGTGTGATCACTTTCATACCTTGAAACAAACGCACAAGATATGCAGGGTTCCTGCGTAAATATAGAAACGTGTGTACATCAGGAAATAGAGGAAAGGGCCATGTACCTGTCAGTCGGCCCAGCTGGCTGCCTGGTGACTTCTGGGGCACACATGTGTGCCACCACCTCCCCGGAGCATGGAATGGTGTTGCCCCATGTGAGGGCCACAGATGGTGCTGGGATTCGCCCTCCGGGGTTTGCCTGCATCGGACACCCAGAGTGCCTCCTGCAGAGGGCGACCTGGCCGAGTCTCCACGCTGCACTTTCTCTTCTGGATAAGTGGAGCCCATCGTAACACCTGCCTCTTGGAGTCATGACATGCACTGAACGCGCTGATGGCAGAGCCTAGTGATGTGCACGACACATGCTCAGAGCTCAGTGAACACCAGATACTATCAAAACAGAAGGTGTTGGCTGCGTGCAGTGGCTGATGCCTGTAATCCCAGCACTTTGGGAGACTGAGGCAGGAGGATCACTTGAGGTCAGGAGTTTGAGACCAGCCTGGCCAACATGGTAAAACACTATCTGTACTAAAAATACAAAAAAAAAAAAAAAAAAAAAAAAAAAAAAAGGCTGGGTGTGGTGCATGCCTGTAATTCCAGCTATTCAGGAGGCAGAGGCAGGAGAATCACTTGAACCCAGGAGATGGAGGTTATAGTGAGCTGAGATCATGCCACTGGACTGTGTCTGGGCAACAGAGTGATATTCTGTCTCAAAAAAAAAAAAAAAGAAGAAGAAGAAAAAGGGAGTGCATTGTCCCTGTATATGCCTCTTGTTAGGCAGTAGTAAATAAAAATCTTTTTTTTTTTTTGAGACAGGATCTCACTGTGTAGTCCAGGCCTCAGTGCAGGGGTGTGATCATGGTCACTACAGCCTTGACCTCCTGAGCTCAAGCAGTCCTTCCACCTCAGCCTCCCACGTAGTTGGGACTACAGGCATGCACCACCATGCCTAGCTCTAAATTTTATTTATTTTTTGTAGAGACAGAATCATGCTTTTTTTTTGCCCAGGCTGATCTCGAACTCCTGGCCTCAAGTGGCCTCCTGAAGTACTGGCTTATAGGCATGAGCACCACTTTCAGCAAAAATTAGCTTCTTTAAAAAAAGTTAGGTTCTACTCATTACCATCTTTATTAAAGCACATGTGATATTCCGAAATTCAGAAAGTTATGCTTAAAAACTAAAAACTCAAATATTTGAATATTAAGATTTCCTGCAGCTGATGTTTAATTCAAGACCCCTTTCCCTTTCTGTAGTGTGATGATGTGTCATGCTTTTCACTGTCTGTTTCTCACAGAGTTGTAAACAAATTCAAGCATAAACAGGATGAAAGCTAAAATACTAAAAATACAAAAATTAGCCGAGTCTGGTGGCAGACACCTGTAATCCCAGCTACTTGGGAGGCTGAGGCAGGAAAATTGCTTGAAACCGGAAGGTGGAGGTTACAGTGAGCTGAGATTGTGCCACTGCACTCCAGCCTGGGCGACAGAGTGAGACTCCCATCTCAAAAAAAAAAACAACAAAAAAACGCTTAGCTAATAGCATTAAAGGCTTCCCTTTTGATAGTAATACCTAAAAGCCCAAATAACATCAGGATAGGAAGAGTATTCAGTAGTTACTTGTTGATTCTCCAAACAAAGGCTTATTGCTTTTCTACCAAATTCTATATCTCTCAGAATCAACTCCAGCCAAGCTTCATGTCAGGGAACATTATCCCCACTCTGGAAAAGTGTTCAGTTTTTTTTTTTGTTTTTGTTTTTGTTTTTTTTTTTTCCTGTCTCCCAAAAGGCAAAAGGCAACGTGTATTTACTTTACAGCTCAATTTCAGAGCACCAAAGAAAGCACTCCAACTTTATCAGTGAACGTCTGAGTAGCAGTCCCTTCTAAGTGGCTATATTAGGCCGAACAGAAGAATGAAAGCGGTTTGGCTCTCCTGATTCCATACAGTCTCTTGTAAGATACTCCTTTTAATGTTTGCGAATCACTATCCTGCCTCTGCTGTATTCAGGTCATTTCTGCTAGTTACCAGCTTCCTCTGAACCAGCAGACACAACTCTGCAGCACTCACTGAGTCTAGCTGCAGACTTATTTTGACTCCAGCACTTTCGTGTTATTTTACAAAGGATGTCTAAAAAAAAAAAAACAGAACTCTTCAGGTTTTACGTTGGGGGAGGCTGCGATTCTTAGCACATGTTGAAAAAGGATGCTAGACGTGGATGTCGCACCTGGTTGGGTTAGGGTTTTCTTTCCAGTCTCCTTCTGACTTTACCTAGCACAGGGTAGGAGCTGTTGCTTTAAAAACAACATGCATTTTGAATAAGTCTGGGACTCTGCTTCTAAACAGTCTGGACTAAGAAACTCAGAAGAAAGGAACCACTAGTGGGTTGCCAGGGTTGGCAAGATTAAAAATATGGGGCTGGGCACAGTGGCTCATGCCTGTAATCCCAGCACTTTGGGAAGCCGAGGTGGATGGATCACCAGAGGTTAGGAGTTTGAGACCAGCCTGGCCAACATGACAAAACCCTGTCTCTATTAAAAATACAAAAATTAGCCAGGCATGGTGGCAGGTGTCTGTAATCCTGGCTACTTGGGAGGCTAAGACAGGAGAATCGCTTGAACCCGGGAGATGGAGGTTACCTAGGAGGTGGAGTGAGGCAAGTGGCTGAGATCATGCCAGTGCGCTCCAGCCTGGGTGACAGAGCTGGGTGTCTCAAAAAAATGAAACATGTAGTCCAGTAGGGATTGGAACCAGCATTCCATTTTTTAAGGAGGAATGTCCTTGTCAGAGCATCGACCTTGTAAAGTTCAGAAAGTTCTGTATCTGTATGGTGTATATATTACCATATACACTATTCAAATCAATGCTAAATGTGCAGTTAGGAGTTCTGCTTTCATTTTTATTTTCTGACTGAGAATGTAAAGAAACCCGATACGAAAAGGTGAAGTTCAGCCTGTTAGATTGTATGCTTAATACCCCAGCTACCTATTTTTCAAAACAGAAAACTGATTTTACATCCAGTAAAAGATATAGGTGACTTAAAGGCACTCATTCTTTTCATTTTGTGAATCTTTTATAAACCAGTATTCGTCAGGGTCCCCCAGAGAAACAGAACCAATAGGAGATAGACAGAAACGTGAGATTTATTATGACAGCTGGCTAACATGATCACGGAAGCCAGGAAGTTCCGTCTTCTGTTGTCTGTGAGCTGGAGACGCAGGAAAGCCAGTGATGAAAGCAATTCATTCTGAGGCTAAAGGCTCAAGAATCAGGGATGTGTACCCAAAAGAAGGGAGGTCACTATCTGGAAGAGACACCTGCACCCCGTGTGTATCAAAGCACCATTCCCAATAGCCAAGGTATGGAACCATCCTAAGTGTCTATCAGTAGATGAATGTGTAAGGAAAATGTGGTATTATATCCAGCGGAGTACTATTCAGCCATAAAAAAGAAGGAGCTGTGTTATTTACGGTAACATGGCTGGAACTGGACGTCATTATATTAAGTGAAATAAGCTAGGCACAGAAAGATGAATATCACACGTTCTTCGAGTCTGAAGGGCAGAGACTCAGGAGCTGGCATGTCTCTGTGCAGGAGAAGATGGATGTCCCAGCTCAAGAAGCCGGAAAATTCCCCTTCCTCTGCCTTTTCAGTCGTGTTTGTATTGGATGGTGCTGGCCCAGGTTGCTGAGGGTGCATCTTCTCTCCTCGGTTCACAGATTCAGATGCTAATCTCTTCCTGAAACAGCCTCGCACACATATCCAGAAATAAGGTGTCACCAGCTCTCTGGCCATCCCTTAGCCCAGGCACACTGACACATAAAATCAACCATCATGGAAACTAATCCAACGAAAGGAACGGAAATGTGACCTTTCTTTTTGAAACCGTAACGTACACTCTGTGAGTCAGGCGGCTTTTCTGGTAACTAGAGCTCTGTCCCCCTCCTCCCTTCCCGGCACTGGTGTCCCATGGCGGCCCCATGTCTGTGCTCCAGTGAGGGGTTGCACACATCACGCCTTCCAGGGTGGAGTGAGCGGCCACGTATGTGGTGGGATTGGGGCAGTCACGTGTTCTGGCCGCCTGTTGCAGACCTGCTGGGCTAGCTCTGGGTCTAGACACAATGTCCAGAGCCTTTGAACAAATATTCATGTCTCCTCCAAGAAGGTACAGGACTAAGACATCAGCAGTGTCCACAGCAGTGCACTGGTTACCCTGGGTAGGAGCAGTGAGATCTTTAGGGAAAGACATCCTGGCAAACAGGCCTTGGCGAGAAATGAGTCGAGAACACAGTGTGGCCTCTGCCGGGCAGAAGGGTCAAGCTCAGGTGTCTGGAGGGCACACGGGTAGGCAGGGGATGAGGTGGCCTGCCCAAGGGCAACCCCAGGGACCTTGAGGTTAGGCAAGCAGCCCTTGCTGCTGTTGAGAGTGGCTGAAAATCCAATTCTTATGTGTGTATTACCGATTTATAAATGTAGATAACTCAGATTCTAAAATGAGTCTTTTAAACATAGCAGGGACCTAGCTACACATCCGTGGTGAGGTGTGCTGCCAGCGTTGACCTCTGCTCTAGATCAGGGCTACCTCTTCTCCACTGACGATGAGAAATGTACCTCAGCCA